TCTTGCTTGAATTGAATTTTCATTGAACCTCAACTTCAATCAATTTGATTATGAAATCTTGTAGGATTTCTTTCAGACTCTATCAGAGCCGACTGCATGATCTTCTAAGCAAGCAATAAAACTTGTGACGAACTTATAAGATATTCTACGATTTATTGTGCCGAATTCGAAGGTGGAAAATGTCAAAGAGAACTGCTAACTTAATCAAAATAAAGCTAGCAACTCACCTACACAGAAAAAATTGAATCCGATAATCACATCCCACTAGTTCACAATAGACAATGAAAAATAGCACCTTAACCAAGAATAATCTAGAATTAAACAATGATAATGCACCCAATATTCACAAAATATTCCTCAGCACCTTTTGCATGAAGAGCCATTCCCAAGAAATAACAGTTCAACATATCTATCACATATTTGCATCAAGAATGCCTAAAATTATATAGTTAATTTCGAAATTAAACTGATACTTCGCTATTAGCATTTTTTATGCAGAAAACTTGACGTACAGAGACGAATTGAAAGCTGAAAAAAGTATAAAAAAATCATTGTAGTTCTCTTTCATAATCAATACATAGAAAACAAATGAGACATAAAAAACAAAAATCGTGTATGCAGAATGTTTGTAATAAATTTTGTGAATATAATACGTATGAACTGAAAATAATAATGATAGCTAACTAACAGTATGTTTGGCACAGCAGCATGGATGATAAGCAACCGATTGAGAAACGTAATCTGTACACATGAGCTCCACTAGTTGTTCTGGTTTATCTAAATGAAAACAAAAGATCAGTTAAGAAAAAATATATACATATATATGTAGAACGCTTTTGATGAGCTTTCTTAATAATATAAGAAATAAGTAAGTCTCGATAATAATTATCTATCAGTATATTGAAAATTGGAAAATGATCGAGGAACAATAGATTGAGAACCGAGACTCCGTGCAGCAGGTTGAGTAGTTAGCATTGCTTATCGAAGGATGCGGGTGTGGATGTGTGTGAAGAAAAGATCCTCGGTCATAACAACATCAACACTCACACATGCACACTCATACTCGTATCCATTCGATTGGAAGAGAGATGAAGTGTGGTGAATGTCTATAGGAAATAAAATTTTAAAGATGAACATTTTTTCGAGTTTATGCTAGACCGTGCAGGATCGTAGAATGTAAACAACTGAGTTTCGTGTTTTCCTATCTTTTCTCGAAATTATAGATAGCTGCTTGTGTGCTGTATCATGATGAAATGGAAAGAGAGCTAAAAAAATACTATTTAAACTAATATAGGATTATTGATGCAAATAAAGAGCAATGCATCTTCGTTCATATACATTTTGTTCCAAGAAATGGTTTTCGTAAGAATCTGCTAATTTTATATTAGAGCATATTTTTGTTGGTATCGTGAGACTTTGTAAAAGAATTGCCACGCTTGTTAATAGATTTGACGAACTCGATTCATTTTTTCAGGAGTGTATTCAAAATAAATCGAGCTCTATCTAGAAAAACTCGATTCGATTCGGTCACCCTTCTTTTTGTTAATTTGAGCTTTCTGCTAACTTTCTTGTGTTGCACACAACGCAGTTCAATGCAACTTCTAAAATTGTTCCTATGTCTTGATTCCAGAAAATTTCAATCTCCATTATTTTTTGAAATAAATAACATCAAGAGAGAAACAATGGACTTCATAAGATTTCAAGAGGGGAGTATCTTCTATTTCCTCCTCGAACAACGTTAATATCGTGAGAAAATAAGAATCAGGCTTCATAATAAAAGTAAACATTATCCAATACCGATGATACGTGCTGATGATAGCATTAAGCCTCGTACAAATAATTTGACATAATAGTAGAATGGTTAATGTATCCAAATTGTTCAAAATTGAATGCACCAGCTCGACGGGTAGCGTGTGCAGCAATGCAGGGATTTGGTGAGACACTAGTATGGTTTTTTTTCGAACCATGTGCGTCGTAAGATGTTCTGTTATTTTGTAATTGTTCCTTTTTTGTATTTTCCGCAATTTCTTATCTCTATATTGGATCGCACAGATCTGATAAGGACGACAAAGCATAAAGCTTTTAGAGAAGTAACTATTTATTATGTTCTTGTGTCTTTGGATTCTATGTGAAGAATTGAAGCGTGTGTGTATGTGAATATGTTAACTTTTCATTACCTATGAGAAGTCAAAAAATACACCTTTTTCTTAATCCTTTTTCTTTCAACATGAAAGAAGATAGGAAAAAAGAAATAAACCAACGCTTTCGAAATAAAAATGAAAAATCTAAGGAAGAAATGGCTTAAATAAAAGCTTTTATAGTCATGTGACCAATCTCACCATTTGAGATTTAGGTGGTGATGACATAATGCCCATATTATTATCTGTTGTAGATAATGCAAAGTTGCGTGAAAATCATCTGTTGCATAGTATAATGTTAGTTTCACGAAAAAGTTAGATATTCAGACTCCTCATCGTGAAATTATATTTTATCTGACTATCTTAAAAACTTTGTTGTATTCATATAAGATGAAGACACGAAGCTGAAGAGTCAGAATGGAATTTATTTAATCGTGCCAAACAATTTTCGCTTCACCCACAGGATCTAGTAAAGCTGAACGTTTTAAAAGATCCGTTACAATCAAAAAATTTGGCTCCTCGAGATTCTTTACAGGTGAGAGCGAATAAGATCATGATCAGATTTTGTCAAAAGTATGAAAGTAAAATGCAAAATAAGACCTGGAAAGAAAGCAATTATTTTTGTTTTGTAAAGGATTCACTTATATTTGCCTTTGTGATATTCTATTATTACTATTAATCGCGTATATAGATCATATATTTATTTCATCGAATCATTCTTGTTCTAAAGTGAATATCTGTCAGGTGCTTTAGACTAAATCAAGTCATTTTTCAATCGTAAAACGATGCCATCCTCGTGGCTATGCTTTTTCATTGTTACATTTCTTACAGTAATACATGGATAATTTGAGAAAAAAGATGTTCGATCGATTGCTAGTGGAACTTCATTTGGAATGTGTGCTGATTATTGTCAACAATCCATTAATGTCACATCAAATCCATTACAAGTAGTCGCTTTAAAACGGCCAAACTTTGATCAAGAATCTTATCCTCCAGTTCAGCGATCGTTTTCTTTTTCAGCAAGTCAATGGGAACAACTCATCTCTCGTCTTAACTTGAAGGCATTTTTAGCATTGGACAATACGATCGGATGTCCTGATTGTGCTGATGGTGGAGCAGAATGGATTCAAGTTGATTGGATAGATGGAACCAAACATGTGACATTTGATTATGGACGTACAGTCAAGGGTATTGAAGAACTGATGAAACAATTACGGCAAATGGGAGAAGAATATGTCTCGCAACTTTAAAATTGAATTCTCTACTAAGAGCAATGTCTTCATAAAACCAGACAAAGAACCGAAATAAAATTGCGCAAAAACAACCCTTTTGAATAAAAAGTTTGTTTATTTAAAATTCAGTCAGTGAATATCTACAAATTGTTAATCGGTGTTTGAAATCCCTTTCTTGCAAAAATAAAATAATTGCTTATGTTGTTTTATTATAATGAGAAAGAAACTTTTTCAAATTCTTTTTTCAATCATACAGCACAATTTCATATAAAAACAAAAAATTCATTGAATATTTGTATTCATTCTTCGATAAATATAAAACAATTATACGATCATTTTGAAAGAAAAATGGAAGAGAATACATTAATAGAGCTAACATGAAATGACCAACGTCTACTTTCATCTGCTCGCTCTGTAGTGACACCAAGAAAACGACAAGCATCGACTCCAACACGTCTTTCTAGAATATTTCATCAACAGTTTATCAAAAAAATACGTACTTTGCACGAGAACAGTCAGCACAAAATCAATGATAGTCATTCATACTAGAATTCGCGCACCGAATTGTTCTGTTTCAGGAAATGGAAACACGAATGCCGATGATATTGACAAATTTATCACGGTTAGATTTATCATTATTGCGCTTCTATTATTTTTTTTTGTTTTTAAGCCTCCCCCCCGAAAAAAAGTCACTTTTCGGCAGAATGGTCTAAATTGAGATAAATGCAGGAGAACATAGTCCGTGATCTGATCTTTCAAAAACAGCACAAATTTTTACTCGGTACCTCATTTTTTCCGAAACTTTTTGGAGATTTCCGTCACCCCCTATTTACAAAAATAAGCTGCTTTTAGAAAAAACCGAAAATCTTTTTCGTTTTTTCTCAGTTTATGCATTTTCGAACGCGCAACCCAAATTTCTCAGTCCAAGTCCAGGCGATGTATTTAAACTTTTTTTTGTTGGAAAGAGTGCGTCAAGATGCAGGGCACCACAGAGCTCTTATTTTAAAACACGCTTCTTTATGAATATATAACAAGACATCTCTATAGAAAAAAAACGTTTTTTAGGGGTTTTTCAAGCCATTGAACTTGTGATTCCTGCTTTCCGCTGAAAAAGTAAAAATTAAAAAAAAAAGGACTCTGTGATGTCCTGCATCCTGACATGCTCTTTCAAACAAAAAAGAATTAAAGATGTAGCATGAAGCTGAACCGAGAAATTTGGTTTGCCAAATAGGCTATTTTTGACCCTTGTCAGGCGCTTATCTCACCCAAACATCATGATAGAAGGCTGAAGATTTAACCATAGTCTCTTCATACCAAACCCAACATATTGTGTAAGTTTCATGCAATTTGAACGTTCCTGGACTAAGATCGATTTTTGAGGGGGAGGGGGTGGCCTTAATTAAGAGTTATAAAAATAAATGACATACAATCGGAGATCACTCTAGAAACTTTGTATGCTTGGACATAATAGAAGACCACGATTCTTCTATCGTAAGAAGAGATTTAGAAAAATTTGTTGATAATATCAAAGTCGGGTTTCACCGGGTCAAAGTCCGAGTAGGAAAAATTTTAATAAATCGGGTGCGGGTCGGGATTCGTGTCCAAAAAGTTTGCACCTGGTGAGCTTTAGTGTGGGCTTAGGGTATGGGTGGGTTTGGAGGTGGATGTGGATGTTGGTGTGGCTCTGGATGTGTGCAGTGTGGGTGTTGTATGGGTGTAAGAAGTGATTGTAGGAGCAGACATCCACATCCACAACCCTTATTTGATCTCAACGTAAACTACATAATTAATGCCAACGACGTGTAAAAACAACACATTCAGCCATTGCTACAGATTTATGTATATCATTTTTAGCTGATAAAAATAATGTTTTCGAAATTTCAACTAATGTTTGAGGTGAGTCATCACCAACTAATATTGAGTCACTCTTACCTGAATTAAAACATTGAGTATAAAACGCAAAGGGTGTGCCAGAAGTTCTGGAACTATTTTGTAATTCATCATTCTCGCATCAACAAAAGCAAATTTCTTGAAACTTTCAAAGGTTGTTGTGCATGCTTAGTACTATATAGCTACAAAGTTTGAGCTCTTTAGTTTTACGTATGAGT